ACAGGGTCTTATAATAGGGGAAACACAGTGTGTAGTAATGTCGGGGGAGACTTTTGGGCAAAGGGAGGTTATAGGGGCCATTATGTTGTACATTTGGGGGAGTATGGGGGCCATTGTACTGTGTGGTATTGGTTATAGTGCTTTGCCTTTCTTCCTACTTCTGCTGTTATTTCACACTGCTTCCGGTGATGTGGGGCGCCACAGCCGCAGACCGGATGTGCGTCATATGACGCGCTTCCGGAGCCGTGACGTGTGCATCCCGCGTCACCGGAAGTAATACTGTACATGAGGGACGCCGCGCTTTGCGGCGCCGCCACATGCAGTACTCCAGGAGCACAGGATGCGGATGCGGATGCATCCTGTGCTCCTCTCACTGACCACCAATGAAAGAGGTGCCCCTTCCTGAAGTGCGGCGGGGGCCAGATAAATGGCCTCAGGGGGCTGCATGCGGCCTGTGGGCCATAGTTTGGGGACCCCTGCTTTAAATTATTAAAAACCAGCCTGGGCAGCATCATGAGACTCCATTTCTACAACAATTTAAAAATGAGCTGGGCATGATGGTACGTGCTTCTCTGGTCCCAGCTACTTGGGAGGCTAAGGCAGGAGGATCACTTGAGGCCAGGAGTTCAAGGCTGCAGGGACCCATGATCTTGCTGCTGCACTCCAGCCTGGGTGACAGAGCAAGACGCTGTCTCTAAGCAAGAAACAACAAAAACTGAAATACAAAATCCTTCTGGGGTTCATAGCCCATAGAAATGATGGTTTAATAGAACCCAGAAGTGGAGGAGTGGATGTAAGAGTCTTAATTTTGTAATATTCAGTTATCATTTCCAGATTCTCTTTGACCTCTGTTCCTTGTTTTCTTGGAGAATGCCTCATTCCCTGGCCGGGGCATGTTGAACATCTAAAACATGGATGCACTTCACAGGCACCCTTGGCCAAGTAATAACATGCTCAGGGCTACTTTTGCAGCTTGATGAAGCCCATCATGACCTCCTGGGGCTTGCTTGTTGATCTAACTTGATTAACAACCTGTGTCCTTAGAGAATACAAGAAGTCCTCCTCCTCTTCTGTTGATTGTCTGTTTCCCTCGAAGCAGACAAAGGTGAGTGACAGCCTGCACCAGGATGTGTTTGGGGGAAGCTCTTGGGAGATTTTCTCTTTTATCGTTTGGAGGCAGAGTTAGCAGGCCTGAGATGGGCTGCTGTTCCTTCCTGTGCTGTGAAGGCCTGGTGGGCGGTGAATTCGCTGGTTAACAATTGCAGAGCTTACCCAGCCTGCTTCCCGGAAGCTCAGCTCAGCTCTGATGTCTGATGTTACGGCAGGGATGTGGTTTCTTCTTCACACATGCATGTCTCTTAGTGGGTTCTGGGGATATGTCTCCATGAGTCTTTGATGCCCATGATGTGTAGGATTTCTCTTTTCTCTTCCTCTTCCTTTCTTGATTAGTCTGTTTTCACACCAATAAAAAGAACTACCTGAGACTGGGTAATTTATGAAGAAAAGAGGTTTAATTGACTCACAGTTCCACAGGCTGTACAGGAAGCGTGGCTGGGAGGCCTCGGGAATCTTACAACCCTGGTGGAAGGTGAAGGGGAAGCAAGCCTGTCTTACCATGGCAGAGCAGGAGAAGGCGGGGGGAGAGAGAGAGAGAGAGAGGAGAGAGAGAGAGAGAGAGAGAGAGAGAGAGCGAGCGAGCGAGCAAGTGCAAAGGGAGGGGCCCGACACCTGTAAAGAAACAGATCTCATGAGAATTCCATCATGAGACAGACAAGGGGGGTGATGTTAAACCATGAGAAACCGACCCGTGATCCAATCACCTCCTACCAGGCCCCTCCTTCAATATGTGGGAATTACAATTCGACATGAGATTTGGGTGGGGACTCCCCTCCCCCACTCCCCTCCCCCACTCCTTTCCCCTCTTTTTTCTTTCCTTTCTCCTTACCTCCCTCCCTCCCTCCCTCCCTCCCTCCCTCCCTCTTTCTTTTTCTCTTCCTCTCTCCCTTCCTTTCTCTCTCGACAGAGTAGTCCTCTGTTGCCCAGGGAATGCAGTGTGGTATGATCAAGGCTCGCTGCAGCCTCTACCTCCTGGGCTCAAGCAATCCTTCAATCTCAGCCTCCTGAGTAGCTGGCACTATAGGTGCACACCGCCATGTCCAGCCAGTTTTTTAAATTTTTTGTAGACATAGGGTCTCACTATGCTGCCAATGCTGGTCTAGAACCGCTAGGTTCAAGCAGCCCTCCCACTTCCGCCTCACAAAGGGCTAGGATTTCAGGGGGGTGCCATCTTGCCCAGTCTAAGCTGGCTTCCTGTCACCGACGCGTCAGTGCTCCACATGGGTGAACCACGCTTGTGTCCCCGAGGAAGGGGGTGTGGTTTTTCTCACTGAGCATTTTGGAGCTGGCATTCCCTGGGTCAAGGTTCAAGAAATGCTGTTTTAGGTACGTCACACCTGTCACTTAATTTATAGGACAGTCCTACCACTCAGGTCCTCCTGGGCACATTTTACAGATGAGGAAATTAAAACTTGGAGAATTTAAGTGACTTGTCCAGGGTCACACAGGGGGCCGCTGTCTAGAGGAGGGAACTCTGAGCTTCCCCCCTGCGCTCCGCATGTCTTTGTGAAGTTTTGTATATGAACAGTATTTCCACTGGCTCACCCTTATTTATCTTTGAGACTATCACTAGTGTTACTGGATCAAATGTAACATAAAGAAAATTTCCCGGAAGGATTCGAGGCGAAGTAATCATGATTCTTTAAATTAGGAGATTTAGAAGAGATTTATCAGGTAAAAGTCAGCAGGGGGCTTGGACTCAGAGGCCAGCCGTCCTGTGGGGAGGTGGCGGAAGTCCAGAGATGCCCCCTGGGCTTGTCCCTGCACGAGCTCCACCTGCCTGTCCTTTGGGGGGAGTCCCCAACCCCCCAGGGGCGTGGGCCCAGAGGCCACTGTGACCCACAGCCGGCCTGGGAGCGACCCGCCCAGGACAAAGTTCTCAACAATTGGGAAACAAAAGAGGAAGACTCCATTTATCCATTTACACAACAATCGGGCCTTTCATTCTTTTGGGGAACCACGTCCTTCTTCATCAGGTTAGGGCTGTCATGAATGGTGCTGAATGGAGCGTTTCCAGCTGCTGAGCCCTAGTGGGGTGGGGAGTCCACTCAGGAAGCCTCTGTCCCTGCACCATGTGCCCCCCGGAGCTGGCAGGGAGTCCTGGGGGGTGAGGGAGGCGCACCCCAGCCCGGGGCTTACTTGGGTGATGGCAGAGGAGTCACATATCGTGGGAGACCATCAAGCTCCCTTCCGAAGATCCCAGCTACCTCCAGCCTCATACAGACAACTACGAATTAATATTAACTATGAATGATTTATTCACGGGTAAAAGAAGAAAAGGGAGGGAGAGAGAAGGCTCTCCAAACGGTGATGGCCGGGGCTGGTGTGGAAAGAGCCTTCTGTGCCGGGGAGCAATCTGTCTCTCCCAGTTTCTTTTTCCCTCTCCTTCGAGGTCTTTCCCACCCTCTGTCTCTCTCTTCGATCCCCTTTCTCCTCCCCTCCCTTGGTCTCTGCCTCTGTGTCTCTCAGCAAGTCCTAATGACAGGGTTTGTGCTCTTGGAAAACTCCTTGTGTCTGAGGCCACCCTGCAGAGGTCCCGGAGCGGGGCTTCCTTCTGAAACCAGCAGGAGTGTGCGCTTTGGGGGCCTGTGAACCAGGGAGAGCCGTCGGCCTCTGACCAGCTTGCCAGGGCCTCCACTCCCAGCACAGAAACCCGGCACGGAAACCCGGCACCGGCTGCGTTGGAGATCTCTGCAGGAATGCTGTGTTCAGTGGTGTTTGCAAAGGGTGGCAAGGCAGGGCACTTCTGTAAAACGAGCACTCACACCTACTTAAAGCTGCTCCCCCTCCGGTGTCATTTCATGCCCACCCGTTGCAGTGTCTTGAGATCAGACATGAGGGTCCTCGGCTCTGGTTGAGTGACCCTGGCCACACCCCTTCCCAAGGGACGCTTGCCGGCTCCTTCTCCTTAGCTGTTCCCTTTAAGGACCGACTTCCCTCCAGAGGGAAATTCCTGAAACCCAACAGTTGACAAACCCACACACCCTCGGGAGGGCTGGGCACCAGATAAAAAGCCCTCCGAGGTAGCGCAGCCCCTCCTGGGGACGGCTGCTGCTGCCAGGGGACCCAGCAGAGCCCCGGACCTGCCGCCTAGAGCCCTAGCAGAGCCTGGGACGTGCCTCCAGGACCAGACCCCCACCAGCAGAGCCCAGATCTGCCTCTAGGACCCTCCAGCAGAGTGTGAGGACCTGCTGCCTGGACCCCCAGCCAGAGTGCCCCACCCCACCCACTCCCAGCCTGCCACAGTCACCTGTGTCCCTGGTCCTAAAAGGCGGTGAGCCCAGGGGGCCTGCACCCGAGGGAAACAGGTCTTTTGTTTCTCTGGCTTGTTCTCAGCTCTCCGCAGCAGCATCCATTTCTGTCTTTCCTTCTGGGAAGTGTGCTTTGCCAGTGACTAATTGCAGGCCGTGCCGAGATTGCTATCACTTGTCACCTGCATGCAGGACCCAAGCCCATCGGGGAAATGAAGAGATAAATCTGCGGCTGCAGCCCGACCTGCCAGGCCACCTGCCTCTGGCAGGCAGCAACCAGAAGCTTCCCTACCGAGACCGCCAGGGCCACCTCTGGCCCCGCCGGGGGCCGCTGGCATGTGGCCATCGAAGTGACTCTCGGGGGCCCCACGGCCACCCCTGGAAAGGCCGACGCAGGCATCTGAGGAGCAGCTGCCTCCCCACAGGCTGAGCGGAGCCCTGGATGGAGCTTGGCACCCAAGCCCCTCATGTCTGCCCTGCTGAGGCTGTGTTTTGTGCTGCCCCTGGCAGCCACCCCCAACAACGCGCAGCGCTGGGAGCCCTGCACAGGTAAGGCAGGGTGTGGGGACTTGGGTGGGTGGGGAGGGCCTTGCAGGGGAGCTAGAAGGGGTGTCAAGTCGCAAATGCCACTTTCTAACACTGATGGAAGCCGCGGTGCTGGTGCCCAGGGATGGTTTGGCAGGGCTGGCAGATAGCACCCTGGGGAGACAGGCAGAGTGGGAGGGGCACAGGTGGGGAAGATGAAAGCGCAGGGCAGGCGGCGGCAACAGAGACTCGGCTCTTCAGAACAAGAGCAGGGTGGGGACGAGCTTCAGGAGCTGCGCAGCAGCCACCGGGGCCTCCACAAGTGCTTACCTGCTGGGTCTCCTGGGAGAGCCTGACACCTGCTTTGGGAATGAAGGATGAAGTCGCAGCAGCCTGCAGGGCGCTGCGCGTGAGCCGTTCCCTGTGGGGATGCCCCCAGCCCACACTCAGCAAAGCGAAGGGCCACAGCGGGCCTGCCCTTTCCCCGCAGGAGCAAGAGATCAGAGACGCAGGCACAGCCCCAAGCACACCTCCGGAGAGCAGGGCTCAGTTCTTCAGGGCGTAACTTCCGTCTGAGCAGAGAGCCAGGGGCTGGCACGCCGGCGGGCCTGGGCCTGGCAGGGCCTGGAGGTTTCCTTCCCACCTTTCAGAAAGGCCATTTAACTTGCTAATGACCGTGGCACGCTAATACTTTTCTAGAGTTTCTACTGAGGGATTTTACTTTTCAACCAACATCTAAGAAGCAGTGTAACAGGCGAACTTGACCTGGTCACTAGAAAGCTGGTTACATGGACAGTGAATTGGTGACCTTGAGCACTGAGGCTTGGCGGTGCGGCTGTGGGGGAAGGCCAGGAGATGGCTTGGGCTTCTGGTTTTGTTTGCAAATCAGCATCCTTGGTTCCCTGGAATAGGTGAAGTCCACCCCTGGCACCAGGCCACAGCTCCCTGCTCGATGACACTCAGATCTGATGACACGACCAGGGGATGGCCAGGGTCACCAGAATATGGAAGGCGCTGACCCGCGTGGGGGGTGGGGGTGGGGGTCATAAACGTGTCCGGCCACCCAGGGCTGGCCGGCTGTGATTCCAGGACAGCCCTCGGGCTGCGCGGTGGGAGGCAGGCTGGCCCCGTGCTGGAGCCGCTGCCGCCTGGGTGTCCGGGACAGGACGGAGGTCCCTGCTTGCTCCCCGGACTCCAGCACAGCTGCACCTGCCCGCAGGGACTGCCTTGGAACCGGGTGATTCTGCAAACAAAGCGAGCGCCAAGTCAGCTTGTCACAAAATCCCCTGGCTTCACGCGACCGAGGCACTGCCAGCCCTTCTCCCTTCCCTGCTCGGGGACCCCGGGGCAGCGAGCGACTCCTAAGCACACCCCGGAGTGGGGAGTGGGGGAGTGAGTCACAGACATGTATTTTCATGTTCCCTTTAGCTCGGGGAACAGAATCGACCTGCATGATAATACAGGTTATTTATAAAGCCCGCCCCCTGTCCCCTGAAGCTGCGTTGCAAATAGTTAAAAGATGACCCAGTTATAAATACCGAGAATGAGGGAGGAAAGATAAAAGTCAAGTAAATAAAGTTGAGCTGAATTTGGAGCACTCCCAGGAGACCTGCGCCGGGGCTAGCCAGGGGCTCAGATGATTTTGAAGTCACTTGGTTCCATTCCGTCCTGGGAGGCGCAGGGCTCGCGTGGCTGCGGGGTGCGTGGGATTCCGCCTCCTCGTGGGCCCCGCGGGCTGGGGCCGTGCTGCGGTGTGCGCGAAGGCACCGCGCGTGGCAGCGCGTCTCCGCTTTCTCTGCTCCCCGAGTCTGTGCCCAGGGTGTGGAGCCGCGGCCGGCCGGCCGGTCGCCTGCAGGTCCCCGGCGGTCTGAGGCCGGGGCCGGGTCTGCTGCCATCCTGCTCGGATTTCCCGGCTCGTTCCTGGCTCGTCTCTCGCTTTGCCCGGTCCGACAGTTTCTAGTACTTCGTTTGCTAATCGAGTGGCTGCCAGGCTCCAGGCTGGCATTTCCAGGCGGGCTGGGATTTCCAGGCGGCCCCAGCCCCGTGGGCGGCAGTGGAACACCGGCCTGTGTTTTACACCATGGGAAGCCTCAGCGCGAGGGGCGATTGCAGGGGCCCTTCCGACTCCCGGAAGGAGCCTGTGGTCGGGGCTCCTGGTGCCGCGGAGCCGGGAGAGTGCGCTGCGTTCTGGGCTCGGCCCCCTCGCTCGGAGCAGCCCACGTCAGCTCCACGTGGACAGGACGTCAAGGCGGGAGATTCCGTGGGAGCCCTCAGTGGGCAGGGTCACTGGCGGCTGGGCTTTGGGGGCCGGGAAGGGGGGTGCTGCAGGATGCCAGGGCCGCAGCCTCTTTCCCTTGCCTCTCTCTGTCCTCAGTGTTACCCCAGGAGCAGTCAGTGGTGGGGACCCCTCACTCGGGATCCTGCTGAGCGAGGCCTCAGCACCCCACCTAGCCGGCACTCCTCATTCACTCCCCCTCCCCAGTACGTTCCCTCAGGATCCACCCAGGAAGGGCCGTGCCCCCACCAGGGATGCGGCAGCCACAGGCCAGGGACCCTGCCCGCACGGAGCTGGCAACTTGGCCAGACTGCAGCTGCGTCCAGGTCCAGAGCGAGTGCCAAGAGGTCCCGCGGGCTGTGCCTGCCCCGCTGGCAGGAGGTGTCCAGGAGGAACTCCGGGAGCAGCATTCAGCAGGGGACTGCAGTGTGGAAGCCTGTCAGCAGGTGGACGGACCCCAGGGGGGCCGAGGGAGGAGTGGGGGTGGTCAGGTCTCTGAGCTGGGGACTGGCGGGTGCCTCCCTGGAGCTGGAGAAGGCACTGAGAAATGATGGCGCAGCTTCGCATCTTAAAAGATCACTGGGGCCTGCGGGCTGCGGGCTGGAGCCCTTTGCAGTTAGGGATTAGGAGAGGTTTTCCAGCCCAGCCCTCCCACCGGTGCTTCCTGGAGTTCCGCCCTCAACCTCTGTCCTCTGGACTTCAGTGCCTAAAGGATAGTGTGAGTGCGGGGGAGTCCTGGTCCCTGGCGAGGTCTCCAAGGCCGCTCCTGGAAGGCTCTGTGCCGGCGACACCTTCTCTTGGCTGCGTGTGCTTGAGCAAAGGCCTTCGAGTGGCCTGCGGTTGGGAAGCGTGCCCATTTCTGACCAGGCAGCACAGTCCTCTGTCCAGGGGGCCCAGTTCCCCACTCAGGGCCGGAGCCGGCAGGCCCCGAGGCTGGGGACACGGGAGGGATCTGAGACCAGCCTCGCCTGAGCTCCAGCCTGTTTTGCCCAATACATGAAGGCACAGGTTACCCCAGCGCACCCCTGCACTCCGGCTCTCTCCCCTCCCCTCCCTCCCCTCCCTCCCCTCCCCGCTTTTCTCTCCCCTCCCCCATCCCCCCTTCCTCCCTCCTCCCCCCTCACTACTCCCCTCCTCTCCCCCCTCCTCTCCCCCCCTCCTCCCTCTCTCCTCCCTGTCTCTCAAATCTCTATAGCTTCGTGCTGGGTGTCGGGGGGTGATCGGGGGGGCACAGGCTAGGCAGCCAGGAGGGATGTGCGTGACCCCCCAGGGCTCTGAGGGACCCACTGGGGATGGACTGTCCAGTCTACGCCGATGGGCCTAGGGCTAGTGGCATTATTTTTCTATCATGTTTATTTATTTAATCCACTTATGTTCTGGAATGAATGACCCCCACCTGTAGAGGATCAGAGGCTCAGCTGCATCACGCGTCACCTATGTCTCTCGGAGAACAAATCTCAGAGTTAAGGACCCCCTCATTCCCTGCCCCAGCCAGGCGGTCACTGTGGGACCCCTGAAGTGCAAATTGTCAGTGGCTACGCCTTTCCTTTTATAAAATTCTAAACTGTAAGGCCAGGGCATCCCCCCCCCCCATCTTCAGGAAACAATGTTTGTCTTTGGGGCCGAGCCCCTTAGCTCTGTTGGACACTGGGGTTCCGCTGGAGACAAGCCAAGGGGCTCCAGCCTCCCTGCTTCCAGGATAAGGAGCCGCATATGCAGGGCCGCGCCAGGTCTGCACTAGGTTCCCAGCTGAACGCCCCTCCTCTGCCCCTCCCTGCACCCTGCAGCTATGCGGCCTCCGTCTCCACCTCCACCTCTAACAGTACACCCCCATCCTCCCCACCCTGCGTCCTCTGCCCACCCCGTTCCTCTCCCCACCCCCATCTTTCTGGTGGAGACCTTGGTGTTGGGGTGGGGGCAGAGGTGGAGCCGCAGGAGTGGGGCCGGCAGGTGCGGTCCTGCCTGTCACTCCCGTCCTAACCCCAAATCCGCGTCCACTGGACTTTGCTGCCCTGATCGCCTGTGCTGGGGCGAGGGGTGCTTGCGCCGCCCCACCCAACTGATAAATGGAGGCGAGCCCATGGGATCCCTCACTGGTGCCGACGACCCCCAACTGATGCCCGCACCAATTCCATTGGGACAGCCGGGTGGGGGCGGACGCGAAAGCAGTGCTTTCAGCCTGCCTTTGTCCTGTTGGGGAGTAGCTGGGGGTGGGGGGACCCCATCTCTCCATGGCTCACTTTTATCCCTCCCACCAAGGTAGGGCTTGGGGGCGGCTTTGGCCCTGGGTGGGGTCTGTGTAGGGGGCTGTGGCAAATTTAATCCTATGGGCACCACTGTCAGGGGCTCGGGGGTGTGGAAGAGAAACAGAAGAGAAGCTCGCCAGGCATCTGGGAAGGATGGTGTGGTGGGACAACCCCTGAGGCCCGGAGCTGCTCGACCCACACCCCCATCCCCCCCACCCCCCCGCACCTTCGCCTCGTCTGCCTCCTCTGGGAAGTGGGTGAAACGACTGTGTGGGAAGCGTTTAGCGTGTGCTGGGCGCGGGTTGGAGCCGGGGACGCAGGGAGGGTCTTTCTGCACTGCTGGGGACGGCATGTGTGCGCGCGGGTGTGTGGGTGTGTGTGTGCGCAGGAGTGTGCGCGTGAATGCGTGGATGGTTGTGCGAGCATGGGTGTGTGGGGGTGTGCATGCAGGTGTGTGGGTGGTTGTGCGTGTGGGTATGTGGGTGGGTGTGCGTGCGGGTGTGTGCGCGGATGTGTGGGTGGTTGTGCGCGCATGGGTGTGTAGGTGGTTGTGCACTCGTGGGTGTGTGGGCGGGTGTACAGGTACCTGGAAAACCCGTGATGCAGCCGCCCTTCCTTAGTTTTGCCGGTGCCTGTTTTCTGAGGTTTCTATGGCAGCCTGGTGTCCGGTAGGAGAGGTGCTCTCAGCTCTACCTGGCCCAGGCAGCGGGTGGGCCCTGGGAGCTCAGGCCTCGACCTGCAGCTGGGGTTTGGGGGCTGAGCTTGGGGCACCAGGGAAGGGTCACTAGTCCTTGGGGACAGGCCATCGCCGGCCACGGGGAACAGGTCAGCGCATCTGGGTGGGGCTGGCATCCAGGGCTCCTTTTCAGTTGAACTGCGCTCTGGAGATGGCTGGGCTCCATCCAGTGTCTGTGAGTGGCGTGCAGGGGCCGTGAGGTGACTCAGGTGGCAGCCACTGCATCTTTTTCCTGCAAACATCTCCCCAGTGACGGAGTGGAGGCTGTGTGGACAGCACTTGCCACGGTCACCCACCAGGGCTCCGCTTCTGGTCCCTGTGGCAGATTGGCGAGAATTTCGTGTGCACCCATCCTGGAGAGGCCCCTGCTCCTCTTGCTGATCCAAGCCTTAGTGGAAAGGCCCTTCTGCCGCTGTCCCCCGGCTTCGAGCCGTCTGGGTAACCAGTTCCATGTAGATGTCCCCCCTGGAAGTCAGGTGTGTTCTCACGCCTGTGTTGAGAAACCCGTTCTGAGAAGGGCCGTGGGCTTTACCCGCCAGCTGGGAACCAACAGCTGTGGCAGGTTCCACGCCATCCCCCACTGTCTGAGTTCCCTGGGGGCGGGAGTGGACTTGGCTAGAGGGAGGCCGATGATGTCACCGACAAGGAAAAGTCTGGACTGACAGGCCACAGAAAATGTCTGTCCTCAACAGCCAGGGAAGTGAGGAACTGCCTTCTCTCCCCTCTCCCGTGTTCCATAGTAGGGCCCCTGGAGAGTGGTGTGGGGGAGGCGGGGTACCCCAGGGAAGTAGGGAGCAGGGTCCCAGCTGCCTTCCACCCCCAGGGGCTAGGAAGAGGGCAGTAGGACCCATTCTGTCTGAACACATTTACACCAATCCTATTCTAATTGTGGGAGGGCTCTCCTCTTACTGAGGGTCTCTGGGGACCCCCTTTTTCAGGGAGAGTGGGACCGGCAAACCGAGGGTATCTGTGCCAGGCTCTCCAGGGGAGACCAAGGCCAGGTGATCTTAGACCTGTGCTGAGGGGCCTGGGAATGCTGGATTTCAGGGCCTCTTGGGATTACAGCCCCAGGCACCCCACTCAGTCCCACCCTGTTCCAGCTCCACTGCAGCTGGGGGGCTCAGGAGCTGGGCAGGGGCACTGATGTTAGGCAACAGCAGGTGAGGAGGCAGCTCTGGCGGGGAGTGAGGCTGGGTGTAGGACCCTTGGGGCTCCTGGAAACATTGGTCCCAAAGGAAACCCCCAAAGAGTGGCCAGCCTGGGCCCCAGATCCCGTAATGTGGGGTCCCCAGATCACGGACCCTTTGTCCTCTTTCCCTCTGACCTCTGCCGCACCCGCCTGGACCTGGGGCCCCGGAAGAGCTGTTGCTGTTAGCTTTCCCAAGCACCGCAAGCGGGGTTGGACATTTAAAATGCCAGGACTGCAGGGGAGAGGGAGGTCCCAACCCCCAGCCCACCCCTCCATCCCACCCCGCCTGCCCAGGAGCCGGTAGACCGCAGCGACACTCAGCTTCCGCTGTGCCTGCTGCGGGCCCTGTCCCCGGGTTCGACATGGGACACCAGGACCTTCCTGCCAAGGAGCCTTCTGGCCAGATATGCCACCAGAGACATCACCACCCGAATCCTGGACTCACAGCAGGGCCGCCCCCAGAGCTGCCTGGAGGTGCCAATCCAGGAGGCCTGGGCTGCCAAGACAGGAGCCTTGGAACTCAGAGCCTGGAAATGCTCCCAAGACGTGGTTTGTCTCCAGGGTTGCTGAAGCCAGGGCTGTGTCAGCACAGAGGGCCTGAGAAAGAATGGCATAGAGCACTAGGCTGGGAGAGGGGCAGGCGGGAGCAAGGAAGACCAGTGCATTTGTTGTGTGAGGCATGCGGAGGGCAAGGGGGCGGATGGCTTGGATGAGAAGGGCAGGGGGCGGGGCCAGGACCCCCTGTGGCTGCGGGGGGATGCCAGGGAATACCCAGGCCCCTCAATAATAGGAGAGGGTCGTCTCTCATGGTTGCCTGGCCCTGACTTGGAGGTGGTTGTGGGTGTGAGGTCAGCTAGCCTGCACACAGTGGTATGTACCAGCGTGTGTGCTGAGAGGTCAGCAGTGGGAGGGTTGACCTGAGCCTGGTGCTTGGGGACATGCCTGTCAGCAGCTGGGCTTCTGGCCTGAGCAGAAGCCACAGCACGTGGGGCGGGAGCACGCGGGGTGGCAGAGGAGGGACACGCAGGAGGCCGGGCGGCAGCAGCTGGGCTGGCAGGAGGAGGCGGGGGCACAGCAGGAGGGGACGGGCACACAGCAGGCAGGCCTGCACTCGGGGCGGCAGAGCAGGGACATGGAGGAGGAGATTCTGCAGCAGGAGGTGGTGCAGCAAGCCAGCTGGCAGCTAGACTGCTGGCAGCATGAAGTGGAAGCCCCAGAGCAGGCAGGGACACAGCACACAGGCTTGCAGCAGACAGGCACACAGCAGGCCTGCTGGCAGGGGGAGGAGGTGCAGCAAGCCGGCTGGCAGCTAGACTGCTGGCAGCATGAGGGTGTGCAGGAGCTGGTGCAGCCTGATTGGCAGGGGCCGGGCTCACAGGCCGCCTGGCAGCAGGGGCTGGACACACAGCTCGCCGGGGTGCAGACCAGGGTCAGGCAGGGGGCCGGGGCGCAGCAGCTGGGGGCGCAGCAGTGGGGCTGGCAGCAGCTCTCTGGGCAGTCGTCCACCTGCCAGGAGTCGGAGCAAGCGCTGGAGCAGACGGACATGGTGGACGCGGCCATGCTGGGGGTGGAGCTGGGGGAGACTGGAATGAGTGAGTGGGTGGGTGGGTGAGTGGGTGGGTGGGTGAGTGGGTGGGTGGGTGGGGGGGTGGGTGAGTGAGTGAGTGAGTGGGTGGGTGGGTGGGTGGGTGGGGGGGTGGGTGAGTGAGTGGGTGGGTGGGTGAGTGGGTGGGTGGGGGGGTGGGTGAGTGAGTGAGTGGGTGGGTGGGTGGGTGGGTGGGGGGGTGGGTGAGTGAGTGAGTGGGTGGGTGGGTGGGTGGGTGCGGGAGTGGGTGAGTGAGTGGGTGGGTCGGTGGGTGGGTGGGTGGGTGCGGAGGTGGGTGAGTGAGTGGGTGGGTGGGTGAGTGGGTGGGTGAGGGAGTGTGTGGCGCTGAGGGCCGGGAGCGTTTGTATGTCCGTGTGCCATGTGCTGTCCCAGCACGAGGCTTCTCCGCGTTCCTCTTTCCTCGTGTTTGGAGCTGGTTCTTCGGAGTCCTCATCGGGGCTGGTTTATTTTCCCTGGAGAGGCCCCCCCACCCCTGTAGATGCCTTGGCTGCATTGGGTCTGGGCTGGCAAGTCCTGACTGGGCCTACTTGCTGGGTGGGTGAGGATCACATTCGGGGGTTTGAACCTTTGGGTGCCGGGCTCTCATTTTGGGGGACCCAGTGATGGGTGACTTGGACTCTGAGCTCGTGGAATGGCTGATGTGTGAGCCCTGCACTGGGGCCATGGTCCCCTTCCATTTGTGTTTGTTACCAGGTCTTCACTGATAAAGAGAGGGTGGTGACTGCAGGGCTGTCTCTATCCGTGACTGTGACCCACTGCTCCTCCTTCAGGCTGCGCCCCGGATGTCTGGTCTGTGTGCTTCCGGGGACACCAGCAGCCCACGCGTTTTTCCTGCTGACTGAGACATGTGGGCTCCAGGTTGCCGGGTTGTGTTTGTGGGCAGGGGACCGGGGGGTCGGGTCCGGCTGAGCAGTGGCCTCCTCACTGAGCGGTGAGTCCCTTCCGCCACGTCTGCTCATGGCGCCCGTGGTGCCGGCCCAGCAGGGGCTCAGCGAGGGGTGTGTGGCTGCGCTGCATGTCACAGGCTGGGGGCTCCGGAGTCCCCATGAGCTTGGCTTCTGCCTCTGCTGCCCGCCATGGAGGGGGTTGGTGCTGCCCTCGTGTGGGGGCACAGAACCTCATGCCCAGGGCACCTTCCTGGTGGCCAAGCTGCAGCACCTGCCCATGGACCCTTGGACAACCACAGGGCTGCTCGCTGGTGGTCAGGAGACAGTGGCTGACGCTGTGCCAGAAATGAAAGTCACGGGGTCCACTCTCAGGGAGGCAGTGGCGGGCACCGCTGCATTCAGGCTGCCCAGGCCCTGGGCTGGCGGGACAGAGGTAGCAGCAGGTGCAGGGTGAGGAGCCACACGGTGGCAGGAAGCAGGTACCTGTGGGGCACACAGGGGCAGTTGGAGCACCATGGCCGCCGGAGGGTGGGAGCCCGAGGCAGGGAGGCCCTACAAGGGGCTGGGAGTCATCGGGCAAGGCTGGCAGGTCCGGAAGGCATGAGCACCTTCGTCTGCCAGGGAAGGGGGCTAGACCTGACCCCTTAGAAGGCTGGGGCTCCATTTCCAATTTCCGTTTCATTATTGCTGTTGTCTCAATGATGTTTTATACCAGAACACCTGGAAATTGTGCAAGTTACATTGACTATACAAAGCTTCACACACATTTGCAGAGTTTCCTGTGGTGTTATGATAATGCAGCACGAACTTGATGGTTTAAAAAACAGAAATGTATTCTGTTATTCCAGAGGCCATGTGCCTGGGAGTGGTGTTGCTGAGCAGAGAGCGAGGAGTCCGCAGAGCTGTGCTCCCCCCCGGAGGCTCAGGGAGGATCTTTGTTCATTTCCCGCTTTTGTTCTGGGGGGTGGATGGCAGCCTCTGCCTGCCTCGATTCAGTCTCTGCCCTTGTGCTCACACGGACGCCGCCTCTCCCGGGTGAAGTTTCTCTGCCTCCCTCTCATAAGAATGCGTGTGATGGCTTTTAGGGTCTCCCTGGCTAAGCCAGGGTCATCTAGCATTTCGGGGCTCTGAACCGTGCTCAGAGATGGAAGACAGAGAGAGTGGATCTCACAGAAGGAAAGCAGGGCAGGAGGTGCCGGAGGCTGGAAGGACGGGGCAGGGGGCACAGGAGGGGCCTGTTGAAGGACACAGAACCACAGCTGGTCAGCGGGGGCAAGGTCTAGTGTTCTACAGCAGGCGGCACCAGCCCTGGTACTGGGGACCAGTATGGCCCGTGGCCTGTTGGGAATTGCATGGCCGCAGTGCGGGGGAGGGTGGCAGGTGAGCGCGTGTGACCATCTCAGCTCCGCCTCCTGCCAGGTTAGGGCAGCACGGGATTCTCAGAGGAGCGCAAACCCTGCTGTAACTGCGCATGGGAGGGATCAGGTTTCGCACTCCTTGTGAGAATCTCATGCCTGATGACCTGTCCCTGTCTCCATCACCCCCTGGTGGGACCGTCTAGTTCCAGGAAAAGCAGCTCAGGACTCCCGCTGATCTGACATGATGGTGAGTTGTGTAACTATTTTATTATATGTTACAATATAATAATAGAAACGAAGTGCACAATCCCAAACCCGTCTTCCACAAAACTGGCCCCTGGTGCCATAGAGGTTGGGGACCGCTGTAGGGTGACTGTCACTCAGCAAGATGCATAGTCTCACGTCACTGGAAGGAGGGTACCAAATGTTCCCCACAGAGAGACACAGTCCGTGTTGGAGATGACGGGAGCTCCGGACACCCAGCCCGACCCCTGGCGCTGTCTGTCTGGAAGCATCACTGGGAACTCCCCGGAGATGTACAATCATGATTTGTCAATTTAAAAAGGTTTTAAGGATCTTAATCAGCAATCTGTAATTAATCTGCAAAGTGCCTTTCTCCCTATAAGGCCAGATTGACAGGTTCCAGGGATTCGGGTGGGGACGTCTTCTGGGGAGCGCCATCTGGCCACCACGCCTCCCTTCCCCGTGTTCTGCCCGGGCCGCTTGGTTTCTGCCTCTGTCCACCCCTCACCTCCGACTTGGCTTGCACGACCTTGGAAGATCACCCTGTGGGCTGCAGTCTCCTCTTTTCAAGATGAGGCTACGGTCCACCCGTCCCACAAGGCCACGTGAGGATTATGTGGTTCAAAACACGAAGGCTTTCTGGAGGTCGGCCACTGTTTTTATTGGCCGCGAGTCTGTATCAAGCCTAACAGTGACGCTGGAATTTCCTCTCAAGCCTGGAAAGCCTGGGGCACCTTTAGATGGAGGGCTCGCTGCTGCAGTGGGTTTGAGCAGACGCTGAGGGCTGAGGCTTCAGGGCCCCCCTAGTTCCTTAACCGTAAAGGTCACACTGCCCGGCCCCAAGGTAGGTTCAAACCACTGACCTCACAGATACCGTGACGTTCCAACAAAAGAGAAGTCCTCATGTGGCAGCCTGGGCTTCCAGGCCCCGCTCACCGTGTGCTGCTGGGTTGGCAAGGGGTGCTCGGGGAAGACTCTGCCCCTCGGCCCTTCTAACTTGGACTGGCCTCCTCTCTCCAGCCCTTCAACACTGAGGGACTGGGGCGGTGGGGGCGGCAGAGGAGGGGCCCCGGCGAGGACAGCAGAACCCCTCTCCCTACCACGCACAGGTGGTACCAGCGAGGCACCGGCCTTTCTGCTCGCCAGCCCTTGGCTTCCCCTCGCGCCTCGCTGTCCGGCAGTCACGGTGGTGGAAACCTGGCCTGGAAGGCCCAGTGTCTCCTGAAGTTACCAGGTTCTTCCTGTCTTTCTCCAAAATCGGCATCTTCTACTAGACAAGAACATGCTTTCTTCCAAAACGAAATTCTGTAGAAGAATCTCTGTTGTCACGGGAGCTCTGGACGCACGGGGCGTGTCCTGGGAGGCTCTGACCTGTGGACGGGGCTGTTGGCCCTGCTGGCCCAGAGAGTTTAGCAAATCAGGGGCCAAAGTCACCCTGAACTCAATAAATGGCGGTGGGGAGAGGCAGGGCAGACCCCACAGAGGCCTGGCAGCTCAGTGAAGGTGGCAGGGCCCCGGGCAGTGCAGGGGACAAGGTGGAGGCCAGCTGCCCGTGCCGGGCAGGGGAGAGGGCAGTCAGGAGGAAGATGGGAGCTCAGCTTCAGATGTGCGAGGCGTGGCTTCCCTTCCCTCTGGGGCACCTCTGGAGGCCGCCACAAGCGTGGCACAAGGGTAGGCACAGGGTGGAGGCCTGGAGGCTGGGGGTGGGGAGAGACCACACATAGAGAAAAGGCAGAGGGATGGGAGCAGGAGCTGAGACAGGCGCGCCCCAGGAGCCTGGGAGACAGGCGCAGCAGGGAGGACACAGGGACAGCGTCCTCAGCACCACAGTTCTCGGCCATCTGCAGGAGAGGGGAGGGGAAGAACGCTGTGCTGGGGGCGGGTAGTGAGACGGGTCACGAGGAGCCGCTTCCCTTCCTCTGGGAGATGCCAGGCAGAGGCTGGATCCGAGGGAGGGGATTCAGTTACACCCGTTCCCCCACCCACCTTTTGTTTTTGAGACCGGGTCTCACTCTCACCCGGGCTAGGGTGCAGTGGCTCAATCACAGCGCATTGCAGCCTTGATCTCCCAGGCTCAAGTGATCCTCCCACCTCAGCCTCAGAAGGGCTTGCAGCAGGTGGGCACACTGAGTAGGTGGGACGACAGGTTCATGCCATCATGCCCAGCTACGTATTTTTTATTTTAATTAATTAGTAATTCATTTTTTGAGACCAGGTCTCACTCTGTCGCCCAGGCTGGAGTGCAGTGGTACATTCTCGGCCCACTGCAACTCCGCCTCCCAGCTAAAGTGATTCTCTGACCTCAGCCTCCTTTCTTTCTGTCTTTTTTTTTTTTTTAAAGAATAAAGAAGAGGAAGAAAGAGAAAGAGGAAGAGGGAGAGAGAATGGGGGTATTGCTTTATTGCCCGGGCTAGAATGCAGTCTAAATATGGGTATGCCTGTAATTGTCCTTAATAATGGAGACATAAAAGAAAATGAGGGAAGAGAATAACAAACAAGGAGCCAACCAACATTTCGTTTAAACTTCTAAGTTGATATGATGTGGTACTGATAAGAGTGTACATTTTGTGTATTTAAAGTGGAGAGTTCTATAAATGTTATTTATGTTTACTTGTTCCTGATCTGAGTTCAAGTCCTGGATACCGTTGTTAATTTTCTGTCTCATTGATCTGTCTAATATTAATGTTGAAGTCTCCCACTGTTATTGTGTGGGAGTCTAAGTCTCTTTATAAGTCTTGTATGTCTGCGTATTCCTGTATTGGGTGCATATATATTTAGGATCTTTAGCTCTTCTTGTTGTTGCATTGATCCTTTTATCATTATATAATGTCCTTCTTTGCTTCTTTTGATCTTTGTTGCTTAATTGTAACTTCTGCTTTTTATTTATTTATTTTAGCTCTCTGTTTGGTTGGTAAATCTTTCTCCATCCCTTGTTTGGAGTCTTTGTGTATCCTTGAATGTGAGATGGATCTGGATGCAGCATACTGATGGGTCTTAGTTTTTTATTCAAATTGCCTGTCTTTGGATTGGGGGATTTAGTCAATTTAAATTTAGAATTAATTATAATATATGTGAGTTTAATACTGCCATTAGCTGGCTATTTTGTCCATTAGTTGATGTAAATTCTTCATTATATTGATGCTCTTTTTGATAATTTTTTAGAAAGGCTGATACTGTTTGTTCCTTTCATATGTGTAGTGGTTCTTTCAGAAGCTCTTGTAAAGCAGGCCTGGTGGTGATGAAATCTCTGAGTGCTTGTTTATTCACAAAAAACTTTATTTTTCCCTCACTTGTGAAGCTTAGTTTGGCTGGATGTGAAATTCTGGGTTGAAAGTTCTTTTCTTTAAGGATGTTGAATATTGGCCCCCACTCTCTTCTGGCTTGTAGGGTTTCTGCTGAGAGATCTGCTGTAAGTCTGATAGGCTTCCCTTTGTGGGTAACCTGACCTTTCTCTCTGGCTGCCCTTAGTATTTTCTCCTTCATTTCAATGCTGGTGAATCTGACGATTATGTGCCTTGGAGTTGCTCTTCTTGAGGAATATCTCTGTGGTGTTCTCTGTATTACCTGGAGTTGAATATTATCCTGCCTTACTAGGCTGGGAAAATTTTCCTGAATAATGTCCTGAAGCGTATTTTCCAGCTTGGATTCATTCTCTTCGTCACTTTCAGGTACACCTATCAAGCGTAGATTAGGTCTTTTCACATAGTCCCATATTTCTTGGAGACTTTGCTCGTTCCTTTTTATCCTTTTTCCTCTAATCTTGTCTTCTTGTTTTATTTCATTGAGTTGGTCTTCGACCTCTGATATCCTTTCTTCTGCTTGATCAATTCGGCTGTTAAAACTTGTGCATACTTCACGTAGTTCTCGTATTGTGTTTTTCAGCTCCATCAATTCACTTATATTCCTCTCTAAATTGTGTATTCTTGTTAACATTTCGTCAAATCTTTTTTCAAAGTTCTTAGTTGCTTTAGATTGGGTTAAAACAAGTTCTTTTAATTCACAGAAGTTTCTCATTATCCACATTTTGAAGCCTGCTTCTGTAATTGGAACACACTCGTTCTCCATCAAGCCTTGTTCCGTTGCTGATGAGGAACTGGGATCCCCCGCTGAGGGAGAAGCGTTCTGATCTTGGGTATTCTCAGCCTTTTTTGGCTGTTTTCTTCCCTTCGTTATAAATTTATCCATCTGTGGTCTTTGAATTCACCGTCTTTGTAATTGGGTTTCTGAGTGGACGTCCGACTTATTGATTCTCAGCGCCGAAATCTGAGCAACCCACTGCGCCGACTAAGTCAGCGGCGTTAAGATTGATGGTGCTTTTCTGACTCTGCACCAAGAACCGACGCTCCGAGGCGCCGGCAAAACCGCCTCGCCGGTCACAAGAGTCGCGCTGGCGACCCGTGGGGCTCCTCCGCTGGGAATCTCCTGGTGTGTGAGCAACAAGAATTCACGTGAAGGTGTAGCGTCCTCTCGTTCTCTGCGCTTTCACTGGGAGCTACAATCCCGAGCTGCTAGTGATCAGCCATCTTGGATCTCTCTCTCAGCCTCCTGAGTAGCAGGGACCACAGGCACATGCCATGATGCCCTGCTAATTTTTGTATTTTTAGAGACAGGGTCTCACTATGTCGGCCAGGCTGGTCTCAAACTCTTGGGCTCAAGTGCTCTTCCCACCTTGGCCTCCGAAAGTGCTGGGACTACAGGCGCGAGCCACACACCTGGTCTTTTTATTTGTAATGGAGACAGTTTACTCTGTTGCCCAGGCTGGATTTTTATCTATTCTCTGTTAGAAAAGACTTCAGGATATTCATGGTCTGGGCGGCAGGCTTTAGACACAGGAGGTGTAGGAGCAGTAAAGGAAGCTGGGCGGCTTCTGGAGCTGGGGATGCGGGAGACGCTTGGGCAGCTGAGCCTGGGCGCTTGCCCCCCACCCCCCACCTCTGAATCTCCCTGAGGACTGAGGGGCTGGGCTGCAGGTGGAGCGAACTGTCCTCTCTGTCTGGGGCCTGGACTCTGTATCCACTCAGCCCCCACTCGGCAGGGAGGGCAGGACCTCAGGGAAAGGTGGGGGGCGGGGGTGGCTGTGCCTGTGAGTGCCCCTGCTGCCAGCCCTGACACTCGCCCACCAGGGCTCTGGGAGACGGACTTGCTTGCTGGGCTGGGGTGGGGACTGCCATGCCATTGACCCTCCCTGGGACCAGCACATTCCTGCAGGGATGGCACCAGTGCCAGGCTAGTGTGTGTCGGGCCTGGAGAAGGGCTGGGCTGGATGCGAGGGCCCCAGGAGGCTGCGCCCAAGTCCTGGCCTCTGGTCTGGCTGGCCAGCAGTTCAACTGGAAAAGACCCAAAGGAGAGAGCGAAGCGCAGCCGGGCTATGTGGAGGGTGTTTATTAGGGTCTCCAAGCAGGGTCCTCACATGGCCACAGAGGCACAGCAGCTTCCAAGGAGGTGAGACCACCGGGCCTGGGATGTGGGACCCGGTCCAGGAGGAGCGGGGGCAGTGGGTGGAGGCGGGGCCACCTGGAGCTTAGCAGGAGCCCCCAGGGCTCAGGGGAGGAGAGGCTGTGCACACATCTCCTAGGAAGAGCCGGACACCAGGGCAGCTGAGGGGCCAGTAGCAGGAGAGGTGAGGCACTCAGTGCCCAGTGAGCCTAGGGATGTGGCTGGCAGAGGTGGACTTCTGGGCTGGGGAAACACCTCAGCAGGCCGGGCGGGAGCACGCGGGGTGGCAGAGGAGGGACACGCAGGAGGCCGGGCGGCAGCAGGTGGGCTGGCAGGAGGAGGCGGGGGCACAGCAGGAGGAGGTGGGGGCACAGCAGGAGGGGACGCGCACGCAGCAGGCAGGCCTGCACACGGGGCGGCAGAGCAGGGACACGGAGGACGAGGGTCTGCAGCAGGAGGTGGTGCAGCAAGCCGGCTGGCAGCTAGACTGCTGGCAGCATGAAGAGGAGCCCTCAGAGCAGGTGGGCACACAGCACACAGGCTTGCAACAGATGGACTCACAGCAGACAGGCTTGCAGCACACAGGTGTGCAGCAGACGGGCACACAGCAGGCCTGCGGGCAGGGGGAGGAGGTGCAGCAAGCTGGCTGGCAGCTAGACTGCTGGCAACATGAAGAGGAGCCCTCGGAGCACGTGGGCACACAGCACACAGACTTGCAGCAGGTGGGCACACAGCAGACAGACTTGCAGCAGACAGGCACACAGCAGGCCTGCTGGCAGGGGGAGGAGGTGCAGCAAGCCGGCTGGCAGCTAGACTGCTGGCAGCACGAGGTCGTGCAGGAGCTGGTGCAGCCTGATTGGCAGGGGCTGGGCTCACAGGCCGCCTGGCAGCAGGGGCTGGACACACAGCTTGCCGGGGTGCAGACCAGGGTCAGGCAGGGGGCCGGGGCGCAGCAGCTGGGGGCGCAGCAGGGGGGCTGGCAGCAGCTCTCTGGGCAGTCGTCCACCTGCCAGGAGTCGGAGCAAGCGCTGGAGCAGAGGGACATGGTGGACGCGGCCATGCTGGCGGTGGAGCTGGGGCAGATGGGAGGGAGGGAGCGGTGGGTGTCTGGGTGCTGGATGGAAGGACGGAGTGAGTGAGGAGTCGGTGCTGGGAGCTTATATAGCTCTCAAGGGTGCGCGTGTTGTCCCAGCACAAGGCCCCAGGCATTTTCCTTGTTGGTGTTTGGGGCGGTTTCCTGAGGACGCTCACCACGGACCGTGACGCGCAGCTCAGCTCATGCAGCTCCCCGGGTGTCAGAACTGAGCAGGTCTGTGGGACCGTGTAGGGGGCCGGCCTCTGCGTGGACCACGAGGGTCAGCGGCCCTGGCCGCTCCTCTGCAATTGTCTTTTGGGGCTGCTTACTGTTATTTCCCCTCGTTTCTTGATGTCAAGGATGTTTTTCTTCTTGCTTTATGTTCTCTTTATTTTGAATCCATGGACCAACGAATGGCTTGGGATCTGGATTTATCTTTTTTGTCAAACAGTCATGTGAGAGGTCTTGCTGTGTGTCCGGAAGTACCTGAGCAAGTCTGTGAATATGACCTCACTAACCCATATGCCAGCCTTGTAAAGCAGGGGTCATTATTCCCACTCTGCTGATGGAGAGACTGCAGCACAATGAATTTGTGCAAATCCTGTACCAGCCAGCAAGGAGCCTGCCCTGGAGGCCTGGCGGGCCGGTGTTCTGTGTTCTTTGCCACCAGCCTCTGCTGCCTCAGAGAGCAAGGGACGTAGGAAGTCAGAATGAGAAACCCAGATTCTGTGAGGGGCAGGCAGAGCAGTGTGGGGCTGATTGGAAAGTATCTGGTGGGTGCCCCGAGGGGCGGGTCTGGCCATGAGAAAGGAGCCCCGTCCATCTAAAGAGAGGATTTGGGTTTATTTATGAGTGGGAATGTGGAGAAACACTATTGTGCAGGGAAGCTCTGGTTCAGGGTTCAGAGGGCTTGTTCTAGGAGGTTGATAGATTTCTTTTTGGGAAGTGAATTGTTTTTAATTTTGAGAAGAGGACACTCTGCAGCCTTTGTGGTTGAGGACTCCAGAGCCCCAGGGCTAATCCAGTCTGGAGGATCCTGAGATTAAGGGAGAGCAGTTTGGTTCTGCCTGGAGAGCTGGAGGGCTTCAGGCCCATAGGCAGTGGTGAGCAGGTGAGGGCCCAGGGTGTGTGGTGGACCGGCCCTTGAAGTGAAAAGCCCTGGTGTGTGGTGTGTGCCATGTCCATGGTGTGAATATCCCACTGTGGTGAGGTGAAGGCCCTGGTGCGTGCTGTGTGCCATGTCCGTGGTGTGAATACCCCACTGTGGTGAGATGAAGGCCCTGGTGTGTGCTGTGTGCCATGTCCATGGTGTGTCCACGTTGGGTCATGGCCAGGGACAGGCCCCGAAGGAGGGAGGACCAGCCGGTGCCTCTGGCCTGGGTCCTGCATTTATGTCCTGCTTTGTGTCATGACCTGCCCCCACCTTTCAGTAGAAGGTCTGAGAAGAGGTGCTTTGGAGACTGAGACCCAGGGACCTGTTTTGCTCAAAGGCAGAGTCTGTGGTGGCACTTGCAGACCCAGAGGCAGCATGGCATCCAGTCCAGTGGAAGCAAAGATGCCAGGACAGAACTAGGAGAATGTGAATGCCCCAAAGCCACAGGAGTTGGGGTGGGTCGGGGGAGCCTAGATGGGCTCCCCACAGTTTGGAGGGCACTGTCTCTTGCTATTTTATTTGGATAATAAAGAGTGACCTCAGAAGGCCAGAGGATCTGGAGACATCTGGGTTAAACACCTCTGAGGTCAGGTGTCTGCATCAAGTAGCTCCTCCCCTATCCGGCAGCAGAGGCCTGCAGAGTTGGGGCAAAGTGCAGCCTCCCTTGGGGCAAGGCCAGGTGTGACCCTCCAGGCTCTGTGTACTATCCTTATGCTAGTACCACATTGTTTTGATTACTGTAGCTTTGTAGTAGGTTTTAAAATTGGGAAGTGTGAATCCATTCATCTATTCATCTGTTGGTAGCTACTTGAATAATGTATAATGAATAATGCTGCAAAGAATGTTGATATACAAAGATCTGTTTGAGTCTTTCTCTTTTTATTTATTTACTTATTTTTAGTTCTTTTGGGTACTCCTTATTTCCTAGGAGTGGAATTGCTGAGTCGTGTGGTAATTCTATGTTTACCTTTTGAGGAACCACCAAAATGTTTCCATAATAGTTGCACTATTCTATATTCCCACTGGTAATGTAGGAGCGTTCCAATTTCTCCACATCTTTGCCAACACTTGTTATTTTCCTCTTTTCTTTTTTTAAAATTACAGCCATCCTGGTAGATGTGAAGTGGCATCTCATTGTTGTTTTGATTTCCATTTTCTGAACAGCTAATGTTGTGGAGCATCTTTTCATGTACTTATTGGCCATTTGCATACCTTCATTGGAGTGATGTCTACTCAGTCTTTTGCCTAATTTTTAGTTGGGTGCTTTGTCTTTTTGTTGTTGAGTTGCAGTCAGATGTATGATTTGGAAATATTTTCTCTCATTCCGTAGATTCTCTTTTCACTTTCTTGATGGTGTTCACTGATTCAAAAAAATTTTAAATTTTGACAAAGTCCAGTTTATTTTTTCTTTTGTTGCTGGTTCTTCTTGTGTATTATCTAAGAACCTAGTGTCAAATCCAAAGTCTTAAAGCATTTCTCCATTATTTTCTTCTAAGATTTTTATGGTTTCAGCTACTATATTTAGGGCATTGATCCATTTTGGGTTAACTTTTGTATATGATATTAGGTAAGATCTGACTTCATTCTTTTGCATCTGGAAATCTAGTTCTTCTAACACCATTTGTTGAAGAGATTATTCTTTTCTCATTGAATTATCTTGACACTCTTGTTCAAAATCAATTGACCATGAATGTATGGGTTTATTTCTGAACTTTTACTTTTATTCTATTGGTCCATATGTCTATTCTTAGGCCAGTACAACACTGTTTTGATTACTGTAGCTTTGTAGTATGTTTTGAAATTAGGAAGTGTGAATCCTCCAACTTTGTCCTTCTTTTTCAAGATTGTTTTGGCTATTCTGAGCCCTATAATCCATATGTGCTTGAAGATCAGCTTTTTCACTTCTGGAAAAAAGAAAAGACTTGGATTTTGATAAGAACTCCATTGAATCAGTATACTGCTTTGGGTGGTACTGCCATTTAACAACATTAAGTTCTAATCCATGAACATGGATGTCTTTCCATTTATTTAGGTCTTCTTTAATTATTTCAGCAATGTTTTATAGTTATCATTGTACAAGTCTCTTATCCCCTTGATTATATTTGTTACCAGGTATTTTATTCTTTTGGATGCCATTGAAATGGAATTATTTTTCTTAATTTCTTCAGATTGTTCATTGCTGGTGTACAGATACATGCATGATTTTTGTACGTTGATCTTGCACCCTGAAACTTTGGTGAATTCTTTAATAAAGCTCTGGTAGCTTTCTGGTGGATTCTTTGGGATTTCCTATAGACATGGTTATGTCACCTGTGAATAGAAATAATTTTACTTCTTCCTTTTCAATTTTAATGGCTTTTATTTATTTATTTTTCTTGTCTGATAGCTGTGGTTAGAACTTCCAGTCTAGTGTTGAACATTGGTGATGAAAGTCCTGTCTTGTTTCTAATCTTAGGGGGAAAGTTTTCAGTCTTTTGCTGTTGTGTATGATGCAAGCTGTGGGTTTTTCACAAATGCTCTTTATCATGTTGAGGAAATTCCCTTCAATTCCTAGTTTTCTGAGTGTTTTTAAATCATAAAATGGTGCTGGACTTTGACAAAGCCTTTTCTTTGTTAATTGAGATCATGTGTTCTTCCCCCCCACCACTTCATTCTGTTCTTGTGTTATGCTACATTGATTGTTTTAAATCTTGAACTATCTTTGCATTCCTGGGATAAATCCCAGTTGGTCATGGTATATAATCCTTTTAATATGCTGTTGGAATCACTTTGTTAGTATGTTGTTGAGAATTTTTTCTATTTGTATTTGTAAGGCAGTTGGTCTGTAATTTTCTTTTCTTTTGGTGTCTTATGTGGGTTTGGTATCAGGCTAATGTTGGCCTCACAGAGTGAGTTAGAAAGTAGTTCTTCTGTTTTTTTTCCCCACAACTTGAGGAGGTTTTGTTAAACTTTTTAAAAATGTTTGGTGAAATTTACCAGTAAAGTCATCTGGTCTTGGGCTTTTGTTTGTTGGGAGGTTTTTGGTTAATAATTTAATTTCTTTACTTGTCATAGGTCTGCTGAGATTTTTCTGCTTCATTTTTAGTCAATTGGATAATTTGTTTTTTTATGGAAAATTTTCCATTTCATCTAGGCTATCTAATTTGTTGGCATGCAACTGTTTATGGTATCTCCTTATAATCCCTTTTTATTTCTGTCAGGTTGTTAGTAATGTCCTCACTTTCATTTCTGATTCTATTTACATCTATTTTTTATGTCAGTTTAGCTAAAAGTTTATTTTTTATGTTTTCAAATATTCAGCTTTTGGTTTTTTATTAATTCTCTCTGTTGTTTTTCTGTTTTCTATTTCATTTATTTTCCCTAATCTTTATTATTTCCTTTCTTCTAGTTTTGAGTTCAGTTTGCTGTTCTTTTTTAGTTTCTCAAATTAGAGAGTTAAGTTATTGATTTGAGATCTTTTAAATTTTTTAAAATATAGCATTTACAACCTTAAATTTCCCTCTGAGCCCCACCTTCGCAGCATCCCATAGCTTTTGGTATGTTGCATTTTAATTTTAATTAATCTCTAAGTTTTTTCTAAGTTTTATTGTGATTTTGCTTTGACCCACTTTTTATTTTGTAGAATGTGTTGTTTAATTTTTATATGTTTGTGAATTTCTAGTTTCCTTCTGTTATTGATGTCTATCTTTGTTCATTCTACCACGGTTGGAAAAATAAAGTTTGTATGATTTCAATTTTTTAAAAGGGTATGGAGGCTTGTTTTATGCCCAGCATATGATGTGTTTTATGTCCCATGTTCACTTGAGAAGAAAGTTTGTTTTTCTGTTGGTGGTGGAATGTTCTTTACATGTCTCTTGTGAGTGACTGGTGTATAGTGTGGTTCAGTTGCCT